TTCAGGATGGCCTTGAGCTCACTCTGTAGCACAGGCTGGTCTTGAACTTGCAACAATCTTCCTGTCTCTGCCTCCTGAGTGCTTGGATTATAGGCATGCACCACCCACCATGCCTGGCCATAAATTACACTTCTATACAATGACTGAACATAATATCAAAAATCACCAAATACTTAGGAATAAATACAACTAAAAATGCATAAGGCTACTCTAAAGAAAATCTTCATGATTTCTTGCTATGATGGACATGTCAAAAAGCTCTGATGTGTTTTTTAGTTAGCATGATCATATTAGAAAGAACAGAGACTGGCTTCTCATTGGTAGAAGTCATTGTGAAGCAGTATTTTACCTGCTAAAGTTCAATATTAACATACTGTGTTCAGTGAACAAAAAAAAAAAAAAAAAAAAAAAAAAAAAAGGCTTTTGTTCACTTACCTCTTCAAGAATGAAGTAAATCAAACTTAAGTTTAAGAGTATCAGAAAGAAATTTATAATGGCAAATAAACCAATGATTTTGAGTATGTTATAGAAGTGTGTTTAAAATGCATTATTATTTTCAGTAGACTCAAAATTCATGAAGTAGAAATAGAAACACGTTTCTCTTAAGGAAAAATAATTGTTGTTATAAAGGGACTTTAGAGAAAGTTTAATGCCTTTAAATACTTGAGGCTTGAGGTATAAAATAGCTGTAAATTTATCTATCTATTTATTTACTTATTTATTGTATTTGGTGCAGGGTCTACAGGGTCTCACTATGGAGATCAGACTGGTAGTGATTCTCCTGTTTTCAGCTTCCCAGTGCTGGCATTATAGGCGCATGCCACCACACCCGGTCCCAATTGCTGTCTCAGTGTGCCCTGCAGGCAGGACCAGCGTGGCATGCCAGGGATCGAACCCCTGGTCCCTGCATCTGCCTAAGCAGGTGCTTTAGTTCACTGAGCTAACTGGCTGGCCCAGCTGTAACTTTTAAAATTTTACTTTTTGCAGTCAGAGTAAAAATATAAATCCTAACATTACTAGAAATATCTGATTAGTTGTCTGTTTCAAAAAGTGCTTTCCTATCCAAATGGAATAAAGAGAAATTTTGAAAGTTTTCCTTTTGATTAAGCTATAACCATAACTACAAAGCCATTCAGATACTACAATAGGATTCTATCAGTAACAACTTATTGATATAACATTTATGAATTCATATTTACATATTGAAAGGAGATTTGGTAATTCTTAATCAGTTATATATGATAGAAAAAAGAGAATATATAAAATTGTTATCTTTTGATCAAATTTTGAAAAATATGCAAGACAGTTATAATAGTAGGATATCTCAGTTCATATAAAAGGAAGATTTGTGTTAACATCAATTGGAGAACTTTATATGCCCATAACTTGTACACTGAGGGCCTGCTTTAAATACAATAACATACAATGTATTCACTGTTGCTGGTCTCCTAGCATCTTTTTTTTATTTTTTTAAATTTTTTTGACATAATTTTATTGATCAACAGCAATGAGACAGTTTCAAATCAAATCGGTAGGACAGTTTCAATAATTAACACATTGCACACAATCTTCTTAGTGGTTAATTGCTGAACAATATGCGGACTTGAGATCCTATTTACAAACACCATTAGAACAAATCATTCTATTCATTAAGAGAATGTAACTATATATGTACCCTAACCACTTTGAATACACAGATACAAAATGGACATTCATCTGTATACCCTTTTATTGTTAAGTTCCGTTATTTGAATATTATAGGTGTGTAAACTCAGCAAAATATTCTAAAAGAGTCCAGTAGCCCATAATATTATTGGGTCTTCTGTTTCACTGGCAATGTCAGAAATTGTTGACCCAAGTCCCCCACAGCTCAACATAACACCATGGCTTTACTTCTTATATTTCGTTTTTAGACTTTTCAGCTGCATGGTTAAGACCAAGGTAAAGCAGGACCTATGCAACAAGAGTTGTAGCTTTTTGGTCTGAGAAGGTCAGTGAAATCCCCTCAGCATTTATCCTGAGATCCTGTACCTCAGATTGTAGAACCTTTGTCAGTGCAGCCATGTGGATGAGTCACGGCCATTGCTTGGCCAATCTCCTAGCATCTTGTTAGGAAATTTTGCTTTACCTTTTTCTATAAATAAAAAAAACAGGGCATTGGTGAGATAGTTCAGCAGACTAAACCGCCTGCTTAGGCAAGCTTAGGCAAGCTCAGTGACCGTGGTACGATCCTGGGCACCACATGCCATGCGTGGCCCCAGCCCATGGTGTGCTGAGTCCCCCACCAAGGCTGGGTGTGCTGGTGCATGCCTATAATTCCAGTGCTTGGGAGGCTGAAAACAGGAGAATCACTATGAGTCCAAGCTGAGTAGTGAGATCCTGTAACAACCAAATACTTTTAAAAAATAATAATAAATAAATAAATAAGAAAAATACTCTATTAATTGATATCAAATTGTTACTAATGCATTACATAAGCATACATGTGACTGGAAAATACATTTCAATCTTACAGTTGTTTGCAGAAATCAGTGACTGTCTGTGCATGTGTAAGGCTGTGACCACCACGGTTTGGTACGTTTGGTTTTTCCTATTCCATACTTATGACACTACACTGGATACCATAAGAGATTAAAAACTATAACAATTAAATAGAACAATTATAGTAATAGAGTACAAGAAAATTTCTGCATCACTACCAATTACAAAAAGTAAAATTAAGGTTACTTAAACATAGCACTCTGATACTACAACAGTCATCACATAACCAACACAGCTACTAAGTGGCTGGCAGACACGTTGTACGCAGAGTGCATATGGAGGACAAAGTGCTGCTTCAGGTCCCCAGCAGGACAAAGCACGGTGGTGCAGGATTTCTCTGTGCTTCTCAGCACTGTGCTCAGTTTAAAACTTATATAAACTGTTTATTTCTAGATGCCCCCATTAACATTTTCAGATTATGGCTAAGGAAGGGATTACTGTCGCTGTATTCAATTCATGAACTACAGAGAAAAACTAAGGAACTGTACTAGCTTAAAGTAGACTAAGGAGGGGCTGGTGAGATGGCTCAGTGGTCTAAAGCACCTACTTAGAACAAACTTAGCTAAAGTACAGGGACCGCGGTTCAATCCCCCAGCATCACATGACAGCCAGCCCCGCCCTCTGGTGGGCTGAGCTGGCCACACACACACACACACACACACACACACACACATAAATAAATTAAATTTTTAAAAAAGTAGACTAAGGGGAAATGAAAATTAATTGCAACTTGTGATCTTCAATCAAATCTCAGATGGCGTACAGGACATTAGCAGAAAAAACCAGCAAATTTCACTACCAATGTAAGCTCCTAGGTCAGTTCGATACTAGCACCATCACGTCAAGGTTGCTCCGTAGGTATGGCTCCTACACTGTGGAAAAGAGCACATTTACATTTGGGGCATCTTAAATTCATCTTATGATCATCTTTACACACTGCATAAGCTTGTCGGGCACATCAAGACGTTAGGAATCTAGTAGCACTGCTGGCTCAAATATTACCTGACAAAACATGGACTATAACCTAATGTCACTAGGAAGAACACCTTAGAAACTGGTTTAGCTCCAAAATAACATACTCAAAGTCCTTTAAGAGTAACATTGGTTTGTTGTAGTTGGTACTTACTTCATCAAAGGCAAAATCATTTAAATCTATTTCTTCATATTCTTCTTCAGATTCTTCACTCTTGATTGCTTCTAGTGCTATTGTCAGTTTCTTTCGCAAAATAAATCCCTTCCACACTGCCTAAATAAAAATGTAAACTATGTTATTCAGGGTTATAGATCAAACCTCAAAACAGATTCTCTGCTTTATCCCACTAGGAAGATAAAACATCTTAGAACTTGCTTTAATGGCTCAATAATCTGTTTTTTGAACTTTATGTGACATTTAAAACTGCAAGATAAATTAAACGACTACATGTGTCTAAATCTCAGGAGACTTTCCTTGTGGTAAGCAGAAAAGAATCTTTAAGACTCCCTCAAATGCACATGGAGGTCAACCAATCAATTATCTCACAATTCCTCCAAGGACTCGTTCTCCACAGAGAACAAAGGGACACAAAGAAAATCCAATATTGGTCATTTTCAAATGATTCCATGTACAAGAAGCTAAACCACATTTAGGAAAACATGAACGCTAACAAATGGCTGCTTTAGAGAAAAGGGCTCAAGGCCTGGACAACTAATTAATTTCATTGAAAAGTCAACACATCACAAAATAGCAAAACTAAAATCATTTAGATGTTTTAATCACTGTGGAATACAAAAACTTTCTGAATAATACATTCAAGAAAAATGAAGCTTAAAAATATATGAAGAAGGAATGAGCTTCGGTATATTTTAAGTGCAAAAATGGAGAAATAAATGTTTTTTGTGTTATTATTCATCAATAAAAATAATAGAGAAATACAAGCATATGAATAATACAAACACGTGAATGTATATATAAAGTACTTAAATTTAAAAACAAAATATAAATTGTGAAATTAATTTTAAAATATTGACATAAAAATGCAGAAGACAGAGTAATAGCTATAGCAGTACAAACTTGAATTCTCTGAATATTCCTTACTTAAAATTTGACTTTGGAACTAGGCCCATGCTTAAGATAATTGTGAAAGTTAAATATTCAATAAACAGCAATATCTTTTTTTTAAAGGCAGTATCTTAAAATACAAAAAATGCATTTCAAGCTGTGGGAATAGCCATACAAGTTATTTAACATGACTTTAAAGTAGGTTTACTGAACCATAACCTCATGAAAAAAAACATATTTGAAAGACTTTTTGATTGTACATGCTATCTTAAAACAACTTTCAAGAATTACATTGTTAGTAATAACATTAGTATTATCACGTATATAAAAGATAAGACAAATCACCCACAACCTCTCTGTAGTAAACGGCCTCAGAAAGCAAATTATAACCTCAGCAACAATCCACGAAGCTAAATAAAAATCTTGGCAGCAATTGGCCAAGGACGACCATCCCTGGGTGAACGACTGCCAGCTCTACTGTTCTGGCCCCTCCCAAGGACCAATCAGAGAAAGTGAAATCGACTTCCAAAATCAGTAATATAGCATGCACCCCTGCTAGTCTGCTCTTGTCTCCATTTCCCCTATCAACAAATAATCAGAGCATACTTGAAATACCTGAAGGCTCCCCCTTTCCCACCCTTTCTTAGTCTTTAAGTTGATGCAGACTTTGCTGCAGTACACTCTAAATAAGGTCCATTTGATCTGACTGGTGAAGTCTTTATTTCCACATTATGCATAAACATACATACAAACCCACTCCCCAGCTCTGCCACCCTCCCAAAAAGCAGTGAGAAAAGTAAGAGGAGAAAAAGAACAATTATGTTAATGTTGCTGGGAGCCAAGATTTTGCAAAGACGAAAATAAAATCACATAATAAAAATTCTGTAGCCCTAAATATAATTATAAAATACCAGGATGAACCCCTGTATATTCTGTCTTAGAACATATGTTTTCTAGCTTAGTGAGTTTTTTTAAAACCAAAATAATGACCATACCAGTAATAGAAAGTATGCTTATAATCCACAATCCACATGGGATCTTCTTTTTCTTTTTTTTAAATACCTGGTCTCTCTACACAGTTCAGACTCATAGTGATCCTCCCATCTCAGCCTCCCTAGTGCTGGGATTGTAGGCATGAGCCACCATGCCTGATTCCAGGGCCAGCAAGACATGCAGTACCTGAGATCAAACTCGGGACCTTGAGCTTGCCAAGCAGGTGCTTATGCCACTGAGCTATCTCCTCAACCAACATGGGGTCTTTATCATTATTTTCATTAAAGGAATTAAAGATCTGTGAAGAAATATGGATTTTAGGTCTAGGGTAAAATGTCTGAGACATAGTTTGGAACATGTGTTACATTACAAAGTAAGGAAGGTATTGAAAAGCATTAAATTATATCCCAAAAGGCAATTTCAGGAAACTACTCTTGGCCAAATGAAAGGGCAGTTTGAGCATCACTGAGATTAAGAAATAAGCACATAATATACTTTTTAAAATTTACTCACTCATCATGACAGTATACACTATGGTGACCTGTAGCGGATGCTAGGAAACTATTAACCTAAAAATTGAAAACTAAAAAGTAGTCATTTTACCTACTTTTCCAGTATGAACCATACCTTTGAGTCTGTAAATAATCAAGTAGTCCAAATTTCTCTTTCTAGATATAATTTAGCTAATAAATGATTAGTAGATAAAAAGCACTGCCATTTTACAAACCATTAATATATTAATTCATCCAGGCAATGTGTATTAATAGACTGAAAGACAGGTAACCAGATACTACATACATGGCTTTTGTAATACATTATCACCTATGACATATTTTCACTAAAAAAAAAAAAAAACTATACTGTTAAATCTTAGAGTCTTACAGTCAATTTATAGAAAACAAGGGGAGTGCTAAGCTCAGGCCATGGATATACCTGTGGAAAAATTCAGGAAATGGAAATCTCACAGGAAGAATGGCTTAGGGGTTTTTCACTGAATAAACTACAAGGAAAAGAAGAGGTCATTATACATTAAAACATATAAATAACATATAATCCAAAACTTAAAAACTATGACTTTGTATTTTGATTTACAACATATGTAAATGAATATTTGTAATAGTAGAGGGAATTTAAATACTGATATATTTAAATACTGATATATTTAGATTCCCTCTATTTTACTTATATTTAATTAAATATGTACATTAAATTAAATATATAATATATATATATATATATATATATGAGGCCACTGAAAAGCTTTGCTTTTTTTAGTCATATATTCCATGTATATTTAAAATACAGAAATAAATCAATAATAGAAATTTATACTGAAATAATTATGAAAGGCACAATGTACTGATGCAGAGGGAGAAATGTGCTGGGTATCGTAAGAATCAGTATCAGTAGCTAAACATTTAACAATTATGTGAAATCAGAATGAAGATTTACCATTTCAAACCAGGTCACTTGCCAAGCTGTCTCATTAGTTACTGTTCAGAATTTCCAATTATTATGGCCGTGACCACTATTCTTGCTGGGAATGCAAAGATATGGTATTCTACCATAATGCCCAGCATATGCCCAATGTACTGAGGCCTTCTGTATGCTTTATATAAAGTGCTGAGCAATGACACAAACATAGAGACTCTCGAAGCGTGGCCATTCTATTCTAACAGATGATAGAGACTAAAACCCAATAAGTAAGGAAGACACTGTATGTTAGACAAATGCTATGGAGAAAAACAATGCCAAGATCACAAGTCGAAGGTCCTACACTGCTCAGGCAGGTGGGAGCTGTATCACATCTGCTGTGGCCACCAGCCTTCTCAGGTATGTGGTCCTGGGAGGGCCTTGGAGGATGAGGATGCAGATGGACCTGGAATGCGGAGCTACAGTATTCTGACCGTGGTGATCCCAGGCTTCAAGCCCACGCACCATGCTTTGCCCCCTTCTTCTAGCACAGGATAGTGGAGATGTCCTTTTTCACTCCCCAGACAATTACTTGAGTCTTCAGGGAGCCTGTCCTACTCCATAAACTAGGAGAAACCCAGTGCCCAGCAATGGGCGCAGACTTAGCTTATTTTCTGGGTGGGGACCGTGCCAGTTCTCTAGAAGTTGACCCTGTCCATCCAGTGTGTTTGAGGTGAAAATTAGTGTTGCCTTCAAACCTGAGCCGCATCCCTCTCAAGCATGCTCTGCATTCTACTACTCTGCTATCCCTAAATATAACTTTTTCTACATGGGAAAAATCTTATTTTCATCAAGCTGCACCAAATGCCCCAACAGACTCTTTTTCAGCTTCCTCTAAGATAACCTCAACCCAGAAGAATTAAGCTAGGACACTGTTACTCTTCAAGAAAAATTACAACTTATTTTCTTGTACACATGTGTTAAGCTTCAAATTCTACACAAAGAAACGTATTTCATTTCCAGAAAAATATGTGCTAGCCTAGGAATCCCAAAGAGACTATCGTCTAGGCTAGCCTGTTCTCTCTAGTGTATTTTTTGCTTCATCTATATTTCTACTTCTCACTGGTATATGTGTTTCTTTCTACCCATCTTATGGATTTCCAACTCACATTATGAAGTTATCAACACTTTAAAAACAAACTCAGTGTCATATATAAAATGTAAAAGATAAAATCAAATAGATTGCTATATATATTTAATTATAAATTTTATAGAGTGATTAGCACATGACTATCACATAATGGGTACTTGTTAAATATTATCTTGATCCTTTACTTCTAGAAATCGTATTTACTTACTTAGTTCATCATGTAAGAAAATCATATATTAAACACTTCATAGAGGTCCAAAATACAGTAGATTAAATTCACTCATCGTGCCTCTAAAAACTCAGTCATGAGTCATACATGGTGTCACCTCATGGTGTCACCTTCCTATAATCCCAGCTACTTGGGAAACAGAGGAAGAAGGACCACAAGTATGACCTGAGCTTAGACTCAAAAAAATTAAGAATAAGTTTTTAAAATGGAAAGTGGCATAGCTCAGTGTATAGGTGCTGAATTTGTTCACCAGGTTTTCTAAAAGAAACCACAGAACAGACACTATTCTTTTGCTTGGAAACTTAATATGAGTAATTTTTCACTTCTCAGGTAACTATAGGACTCTCCTCATATGAGGGGCAAAAAACACAGACAAGAACTTGAATGACTACTAAGTGGTAGAAACAAAGAAAAAAGAACATTTTGTACATAGAGAAGCAAAATTAAAAGCACAGTTGAAGAAAGCAGATTTCTTCTTTTGAACTTACTTTGGAGAACATCACCTGCTCTTTGCATTCTTGATTTTTTTTTTTTGTCTCATAAAGCTGAATGGTTATTACATATTATTTTTTAACTCCTTTCACTTTGAGTTCAATAAAAGTATTTAAAAATCATTCAATATTCAATACAAAATAACAGATAAAAAATAAAACCTACTCTTCTCTTTTTAGATTCCCTTACTGGGGTGTATATTTTCTCTTGGACACTGGCTTTCTCTCAGTGTGGCCTCCCTAACAAGCCTAACACGTTAAATGGGAAGGTCTTCCTGCCTCTTTACATCAAAATAAATGAACCCACCAGCTAAACCTGGTTAACATGCAATGATGAAATAACCAGGCTTTGCAAATTCTTCAGTTTCAACAGATTCCAAGAATGCTCTTAAGTCCACCCACATTTCAAGCAAAGCAAAGAAAAATACTGTGGTATGTCTTACGGGTGGCTTTACAGAGCAGGCATGGGGCTAGTGCTCACGTCCCCCACTCACATTCTAATAACCAGAACTTAGAGAGAAGGCCATACTAAACTGCAAGGGAAGCTGGACGTCTAACTCGCCTAGACAAAGAAGACCATGAATACTGGTGAGCAGAGAACATCGTCTACCACCTCCTTTGTGAAATCTTCATTTTGATCTTTTCTAAATCCATTTTGATCTTTCTTCTGTGTCATGCTCTATCCCATCCTGGGATGCTTAGCTATTCTAAAATTTATATCTTAAAATGAGTGGTTAAAGAAACTAGATGATTATATCCCACACAAGAGAAAATGAAATTGAATTCAGCGTCTTGACTACTACAGCGTACATCAGAAGAGCCTTGCCATAAATTATAAAGAAAGGATGAATTGCGCTCTCTTTTACAGATACTAAGACTGTCAACCAAAGGAGATCTAATAAAGATATCAGTCACTAGAATGACAGCTTCATAAAGTAATGAGCTTCTCTTCATTAAGATGAGTGAAGCAAAAGTTTAATAACCATTTGCTATTACTGCTGAAAAATGCACTGCTCATCCAATAATAACAGGAGGAGTCTGAACTGTTGGACATTTACATTCTTTATGCAGAGGAATAATATTTTCAGATAGTAAGCAAAGTTTCTTTCTCTTAGAACTTACTTAAATAAAATGTTTCCCCTCATTCTTAGCAGCATAGTATGTGGCCTTTTCTATATATTTCTTTTAGGAAGATACAATAAAAATTAAACTAAAATCTAGGCATATTCATTAGAAACACAGCAATGGTAATTGTCTTGAAAACTGTAGCCTTACGAGAAGAACTTGAGAGAAAAAAGATCTCTTTTTCTCTATATTAAGCTTATCCTTTCCTTTGTGCAAGTAACTAGGAAGCATCCCTGAGTCCTGACCATCTTTCCTACAACAATTCCCATAACTAACATTCCCATTCCCTATTTTGAAAGTATAAATACATAGTTTCCTTCAGGTTAACTCAGTATTTAGTCCAGAGTGTAATACTCCAATCACCTCAACTGCTCATATCCTAGATGGTGCCATGTTTTTCCCTCAGTACTGTACTGGCCCCCTAACTCTTTGCCACTGATCTTGCAATATATTTGCAACAGAAACTGGACATGAGCACACATCAGTCCACTTTTCAAAGTCCTCCCATGTCTTCTCAAATTACAGGAGGAAAAGTCAAATTCTTCACAATGACCTATGACTTCAAAATCCCATTTATCTCCCCTTTATCATTTTCCCCTCATGCTGGCTTCTTGCTTCTTGCTGCTTCTTAAACACCATGGGTGTGCTCCTCTGCCAGGGACTTTGAAGCTGATATGCCTTGGTCTGTGATCGTCTCCTCCAGATAGCCAGTGGCTTAGGACCTCATGCCAATGTCAACATTTCTGGGCTTTCATATCTGTTCTATCTAAAATTAAAAACTTCCTTTTCAAACCCTCATTCTGCTTTATAATTCTCCTTGATTTTTGTCCCTTTCAAATTGACAAACTGTACCTTCCAACAAAATATAAAGCAGCATGATTTTCACACTGAAACATGGTTGTTGAATGAATCGAACAAAATGCTGATTTTGTTTTTGTTTGGCTACTATTGTCAAACTGAGGCACGGTGTTGTAAATTTCCACAGCACTTAACTTTGTATATGCATTCAGTGTATTTGGCTCTTCATCAGGATATAAACTCCATATAGGCAGGCGTATCTGCAGGGTTTTTAAATTTGGATGTTTGTTTGTTTGTTCATGGATAGTTTTATTTTCTAAGCCTACACTAGTGTCTGAAAAATCTCCAAAAAAACTTGATAAGTGAATAAATGAATGTAATCAAGTTAATACTAATTTCAAAATCTGCTAACATTGAGTCAGATACTTACTTCTTGATCTCTGAATATTTAAATGAAATAGGTATTTTAAAAACTGTAAGTTTTGGTGAAGTTTTAAAAATATACTTCTAGAAATAGCTATTACTTACATGACATGAGCCCACATTGTTGGTCACGTTTTACCAAACTGACAAATGACAATGCTAAGAAGTTTTAAATATGATTGTGTAGGTTAGCTTAATTCACAGTCATGAAAAAATACTCTTTCAGTTATAAAGAGTATAGTATGTAGTTTCAATCTACATACTAAGCAGAGCAAAAGCCAACCTACAGCTAACATGCAGCTCCGTGTCAGACGAGTATAAAATGTAGCCATGTAATGGAAAATTACTAACATTTGGGGGTGGATTTTAGTACCGAATAACCCAGAGAAAGAGGATGCCTATCCCTTTCATGATGAACCATGCTAATAAAAGATTAAAATTAACCTGAATAAGAACAGCAGCCTTCTCCTTCTGTGCATGGATAGTCATACTGTTTTCACTTTTTTCTTTCATTAAAACAGTTTGATTACTGAAGGAATTTGGCAGGGATTGTGTTAAAGCAGTATGTGTCCTTGAAGAGAACTCAATCTGTCTGCGCACCACGTATCCACGCCAGCGTGCCTGTATCGTCACAGCTGCAGTACTATAAAAAGGAGAAAGGGAAACATGTTTAGTAGGCGTGAATGCACAGAGGCAGATAAGAGGGTCTTGCAACTTGTAAGTGTGAGTCGTGCAAAGTGTTACTTAAAAACAAGACCGCTTCTTTTGTCTAACTACTGTCATAGAGGTAAAAACTAGGAACCTTCACATCTGAATGTGAGGTCACATTGTCACATCCAAGGAAGGATCTAGGTATGAGGGAACTTGTGTAGTTCAGGGGGAGAGGTTGTAGAACTTTTGTGAGATACTGGCCAAGAGGTTACTGCATGATGCAGAAGAGAGGAGATAAATTTTGACTTAGCAAGGATGGGTGAGATTCTTTGTTTTCTTTTTTGTATTTTAGGGAAGGGTCTACAGGGTGTTCAGGGTCTCATTACTAGATTGGACTCGTAGTGATCCACCTGTTTACAGCTCTCAAGAGCTGGGATTACAGGCAAGTGCCACCACGCCGTCTCAATTGCTGCCTCAGCACGCCTCTTTACCCTGCAGGGCAAGGGCTTTGAAGAGGCAGGCCAAGGAGGCTATCCTCACCAAAGAGAACAGCCCCTAATTGAGTGTCACTAGTGTCTCTTTTCTCCCTATCCACCATCAGATACTTAACTCTCACTCTTATGAGCCCAGTAATAAAATCTAACATGTGCCACCTGATGCCAGTGGGCCAATTCCAGGCCCTGAATCAGTAAGTACTGTGTGTTCTCCACAACCCAGGAGGCTGCGCCGTAATAGCAAATGTGAATAAAAACGGACACTGCTTGTGAGTTTGCAGTACATCTTATCATGGTTTTCCTTTCACAATTATAGTATTACAAACATCAAAATTCTTGTATAGTTTAAGCGCTACCTATTTTGTCTTGGTAACTTCAAGTTCCTGAGTTTGAATGGAAAGGTTCTATCCTCCAAAGTTCTCATGAAATAGTTTTTAATAATTTTATAGCTATTAAACCTAATGAATTTTATCCATCCTTATATATCCTTATAGTTGGTTTAAAACAAAGTGCAATCAGGCAGTAAACTCTATCAGGTGTAACCACATATATTTTTTCTCACCGCATTTGTAAGAAATTAAAAAGGAATGATGCTATTTTCTATAGTTGTTTCAATTTATTATTACATCATTAGCCTCATCAATGCCACTTATCTACAGACTTTCAAAACTCTTAATCTATTTGCTATGAGTAGAAAATTGAAATTAATGGCTAAAACTTCTGGTCTAAGATAAACTACTTGCACTTTTGGTACTTGGAAGAAATATTCATATTCCAACAAATCATTTCTTCCTAATAATATAGACAGAACTTTTTAAACTCACATTTGGTCATGGAATTATCCATTCATTTCTTATCTTTTTAACAAAAATGGATAACCTACTATTTAGCATATAAATGCTATACTAGGTACTTTGGGTAACAAAGGGAAAAGAAGAGCCCCCCAAATATTTGCAACATATAAGCAGTAAAACCTGAAAGGTTTATGAAGAAACACATTCACCTGACACCTTATATTTCTCCACAGTACATGTGAGTTTCACTGTCTACAATGTGAAATTTTTCTAAAGCCATAAATCTCATGAGTACCTGAGCCTAATAACAAAACCAAGAGGTGCGTGAAGGATATTTTCTTTAGTGCCATACATAGGAACTGGTGTTACTTTCCTACACAAAAGCAAGGAAAGAAGCTGACTTGAGGTTGTCCTAAACACAATGTACTCTCCATGTTGAAAAAAAAAAAAGACCTCTAACATCATCTCTATTTCTGTTTCTTGCAGAAATAATAAATGTAAAATAAATGTTCACAGCACAAGAGTATGTATAAATCTCGCTAAGGAAACTTCAATATAACTGACAATGCATCTTTCTAAATACCCAAATAACCAGGTTTGGCTGGTGGGTTCATTTATTTTTTTTCAGGTCTTTCATATATATTTCAGTTCTTTATCTCTATTTAATATCAGCACTTAGTAATGTTATTATCATTGATGAAGCAGTTCCAAATGTTGTATATAAAAACTCAATAAGCAACATCTGGAGCAAAGGCCATGAAATTAATTACTAAAACATAAATCAGGAAATATTAAAGTCGCTTTTCATAAATGTTAGAAATTTTTAAATTGGAAATAAATGCCAGTTTTAGCATATCAAACTACTTAGCATAATGCTCAGAGAAGAAATCACTTAATACAGACAATGCCTGAGAAAAGCCAGACCAAGAAGAGCAGGATTTCTGCCTTATTCAGTGCCAGACAGGCTGATTATACAATTTTTCTCTTGTTGGCCTCACACTGAGGCCACACACACACACACACACACACACACACACAGAGAGAACAAGAAGTGGACAGACCAAAGTAAAAAGCAATCTTTGCTGGTTCAATAAATGATTAGAGCCAGCAACTTGATTTTCTGCAAGTGTTTAATCATGAGATAGATTATGTGTTTAATTACAGGGAACATTGCCTTACCTTATAGAACCGTTATGCCAGAGAAAATTACAGGACACACACTCAAATAGTGGCCCACACGCTCATTAAGTGTTTTCTAGATCAATGAGAAAATATTGAGCACATGCAAATTGAGCACATTTTTAAAAATGAAAATGAAATTATCTGATTATTCAGAATGTCTTACCTTCTATTTTAGAATGTAGTGTTTTATTTCCTTAAAAGCAACTCAGTAACTTAGACATTAGAAAGGAGAAAAATAATTTCTCGTTACTCATTTAAAATGAATGCTATTAGAAATTCCATCTGCACTGTGATTAGTAGTTTGTGTACATCATGAAAACATAAGGGACTTAGTATAATAATGTTAGTGATTAATATCTTACCAAGTCATTATTTGGCACCACTGACTAAGATCAGCCATCAGAAACAGTAAATACAACATGCCCAAAGGAAAGACGGCACACAGAGCTTACATTTCTTTATTGTGTTCAATTTTTTGGTGACTCCTCAGCAGAGGACCCGTCAGTGCTGTTTCCACCGACGGCTTCGTCCTGGTGATAATGCTGCTTGTCTTGGTGTCCTGCTTCTGCTGGCATACTAATTTTTCCTGATTTCTGTCTTCTAAATCTTTATACACAGGGAAGCAGCTCAGGGGGGAGCGACTAAAGCCGGAGTCCACGGATTGCTCAGTGCCCTGCGGTAAGGGAGCGTTGGGTTCCCTTGCGGGAGCGCGGGAGGCCTCGTGCTGCAGGGCGCCACTATGCTGTGGAAGGGCGCGATGGTTCTGCTGAGCCCTTGCTTCCCCTTGCTCAGTGACACTTACATCCCCACGTTCATGTGCGCATCTGTATTCATGACTAAGTGTCATCAGTTTCTTAAAATAGTGGTGGATGTTTTCTGCTGTATTCAAGGTGAAAACGTTCCTGAACAAATAAGGGATCGGAACATCTCACATTAAAAATTACAACAACATATACAATTTTTAAAATAAATTCTGCTTTGTTCCTAAAATGAACATTAAACTTTACTACAATATTCATTATAGATTACTTTTACTTATTTTTACAAAAATGTTCTCATTTTGAGCACAGTTTGAAAGTATTTAGTTAATTTAGCTCTGTTGGTGCAGACAAAATGTCTGGGAGCTTTAGAGCCATTTTTATTCAAGGTATTTTTGGAACAAATAGATGAGAAAAATTCATTCTTTTACTACCATAACATTAGAATTCATGGCTGCCTAAATTTGGAAAAGTTATTTATGAAGTAAAGTTAAAAGTGCTCTCTACATTGACTCTTGCCACTCAAAATATTTGTACTGGATTTTTAAACAAAGAATGTATATTATGAGAAAGTTTTTATTTCCATTTTTCTTTGGAAAAACATTTTATTGCAAAGAGAATTCAAATAGCTTAAGACACATACGGTTGAGGTTCTCTTAAACAATTGTTCATTTCTAACTCGTAGCCTTATATAACTGATCAATTTTTCATGTTTACCAGATTTGATGTTTCCAGTGGCAAATGAAAATGACTTCACAGTATATGAGACTTATTCTTAACTACATTATATTTATTTTCTTTTTCCAGTTTTTAAGGTTTTATAAAGTATTTTTTAAAGTTTTCACTTATCTCTTAAGTTTCCAGCTATATCTTATAGACAGCCAGAAACTGAATTACTCTTGTTCTGTAACAATGCAGTATTTATGGTATTTAATCTCAGAAGCAAAAGGAAATTTATAATTATTTCTTCAGAGTATAAAAATAATTAGTGATTATGTTCCATAAATTATTATATCTTAATATAGCCAACCCTGATATATTTTTAAAATTTTCTATTTCATCCATTTTATTGGCTAATGAAGCAGAAAGGGTTCAGTACAAACATGGGGACATGAAATACTACTGCTTAGGTATTGAGTTCAACAGTATTTATGCATCACATATATCATAATAGTCTATTTCCCAGTATCAAAGCTAAAATGGAATTTAAATTGCAATAGCAATAAATATAAATACAAATGTAAAGGTATATATTTTACACCTCACGTTACAAAATGAAATTTCAACATACATGATGTGAATGATCACTCTTGTACAAAACAGAATCACACATTACATGTATGCAAAGAAATATTATTTTAGATTTCCACAAAGACATATGTAAGTAACTTTAATATTGTCAAAAGAAAACATTTCTGCAAAAATAAATTTATTTTTTTAAGTTGTGAGATTTGGGGGTTTTTTTGTTGTTTGTTTTTTTCACAGTACTGGGGATTGAACTAAGGACCCTGCACTTGCCAGGCAGGCGCTTATTCTACTGAACTATCTCTCTGGCCCTGAGATTTGTTTTTAATATGAATAGACTACATTAAAATATTTAAATAGAAAAATAATTCAATAAGACAAGCATGTATGGAACTATAAGTAGCAATGATGCTAGCATAAAATTTAGTCATGAAATTTAGATATTATCCAGCACATATTAATTTTTCCATTTACAATGGAGAGATATGATAAGTGAAAACAGGATAAGTTTTCCTTTTTATTTACATAGTCCAGAGCAATGAAAATTAAAAATCTAGTTTAAAAATTCAATATATAAATATTTAAAAAACCAATTACTTCATTTAGTATGTATTCAGAATGAAAGAATTAAAGTGTAATTCGACTGTGAGTCCTCTCAGATGCCTTACTCTGAATGCATGAAAGTGGTAACTGCGTCCCTCCGTTACGGTCCCATAACATCTTAAATGTAAATATAATACTCATGTAATATGACATCTTGTACATAACATGCATTATGTATTACAAAACTTGCCTTATCCCTCCAAAACATTTTATTTACCCAATCTTCATTTATGCTAATCTGTAATTTTTTGAAGATAATTTTTTGCCCACAAGTATTGTTGATATATGACTGATGAACAATAGAATGAATATATACCTGTCATGTTGTCATTTATTTTATATAGTAGTCTATATTTTATATATGTATATCAAATTTATTTCAAAACATAATTTAATGTATTTTGAAGAACATTTCCAAGAAGATTTCTTTAAAGGCAGATTATTCCCCAAAACATACTTTTTGTAAGAAGCACATAATGACTGTCATGATCCAAATATGAAACTATGCTCGGCAAGTGTTCCAGCTCTCAGCTATATCCTCAGCACACATTACTTATTTTAAATGTAAGGGGAGGATGACAATCTTACCCTTTTGTTGTGATGCAGTTTTCAGATAGTACCTTGAGTTCTCGGATCTGGGTCTGACAAAGCACCAGGAAGTATCCTGACTCTAGAAGGCTGTGCTCCTCAATGTGGCTTTCTGAGTCAGAACTTAGCTTATCACCATTGATTATTCTTAGAGCAGGTAATATTTTAAGTAGAGAATGCCTTTGGGAAACAAAAAAAAGTTACTAATCTTGATAATAAGAGTTTATGTTTAAAATCAGCCATATACCTATCATGTAAATAAGCACTGACTGTATGTCAGAAACATTGATTTTGAGAGAAAATGAAGTTAAATTTGTGTAGCAATTAAGGGCATTCTGCCATGTACAAAACAACTTTTAGAGCTTTTCTTATATATTTAGCTATTTTCTCCTAAAATACAATACTTGGAGATGAAAGACTGAAATTTGAGCATAATTAAGCTGTAATATGGAAAGAATTTATATTTCTCAATCAAATATAGTGAGATTAGGCCTATGAAAGGAAGAGATCATACAATTTTCCAAGATTTGAAACATCTAAAATTATATTTTCTCCTGCTTCTTGATAATTATAATAATTTTTGAAATATTACCAAAAGTCTATATCAATTTAAAAGACAATTATTGTAAAACAAACCCAGAAGTAAAAGCAAGCAGGTCCGACAGCAAGAGTTTCTCATCAAACCCAACCACTAACACATACTTGAATTGGCCATGACTCATCCGCATGGCTGACACTGAGAAAGGATCTACAAACTGCGGTACAGGGTTTCAGGGTAAATCCTCAGGGATTTGACTGATCTTATCAGATAGAAAAGTTATATTTCTTGTTCTATAGGTCTTGTTTTATCTTGATCTTAACCATCCAGTAGAAAAGTATAAAAATGAAATATAAAAAGTAAAGCCATATTAATATGCTGAGCTGTGAAAGGCTCAAGTCAACAACTTCTGACATTGCCAGTCTTACAGACAACCCACTACTATTATGGACTACTGGAGTACATTGGATTATTTTGCTGAATTCATGCACCTACAATATTTAAATGGCAATGGAATACGCATCTCTGACAAAACTAAACAAAAAAAGGGGATACAAATGAAGGACCCTTTGGTATCTGTATATACAAAATAGTTAGGATAGATATACAGCTACTTTCTCTTAATTCAATGAGAAGAAAGTTTTTTACTAATAGTGTTTGGACTGTATATCATATCTGCATTTTGTACTATGAATAACTACTACAAAGACAACAGTATGCAATGTATTACTTATTGAAACTGTCCTACTAATTGGTTTTGAAATTGTCTCATTATTATTTGTTTCTCAATGAAATTAATTTTAAAAACCACATACTTGAGCAACCTTTCACAAAAACAAGGTGCATTTCTTTTGAAAAGGGTGCTGATAGTCACAGGGATGCAGTGGACTTCTGAGAAAAATTTAAAGAAAACTACAAAGTTCTGATGACAGATACCAAAGACAGACTGTGTAAATAGAGAGAGTTCTTGATTCACAGAGAACTTTCAGTGTTGTCAAGGTGTCTGTTTTTCCTAAACTGACTTGTAGACCAAGTCAATCTCCAAATTTTCAGTAAGGTATTTCGCAGATATTAACAAACTAATTCTAAAGTTTATATAGGCCTATGCCCAAACACACAGAATAGCTAGCAAAATATTGAAGAAAAGGAACACAGAGGACTAGTACTTCCCAGTTTCTAGATTAAGTGTGGAATTACATTAACCAAAACAATGTGGTTGGGGAGGAGAAAAAGAAATAGGCCAGGTAGCTCAGCAGATTAAAGCACCTGTTTAGGCAGATTCAGGGACGGGGGTTCCATCCATGCTATTCCAGCCTCACCCCTGGAGCACTCTGAGAAGTGATTGAGACTGGATGTGATGGCATGCACCTATAATTCTAGCCCTTGGGAGGCTGAAAACAGGAGAATCACTATGAGTCTGATCTGCATAGTGAGATCCTGTCGACCCTGTACTAAGTATATTAAATAAAAATAGGTCAGAAAGACTCACATAAGCATAATCATGTGATTAGTTTACAAAAAATGAAAAAGATATTACAAATGGAGCCAATATGATCTATTCAACAAATGGTGGTGAAATAGCTGAGCATCCACAGGAAAAACACAACTCAAGGGGAAATTTACATACTTCACAAAATACTAGCTCAAAATGGATCACGGACATAATTGTAAAATGCAAAACCATAAAGCTTTTAGACTAGGAAATAAACAGATGCAGGACCTAAGGTATGATGACTTAACTAATACTAAAAATTTCTACTATGAAACATAAGATCAAAAAATTCAGAAAAGAAGGCACAGGCTAAGAGAAAATATTTGTTAAGCATGTCTGATAAAGGGCTGATTTCTAAAGTATACAAAGAACAACCAATAGTCAGCAACAAGAAAATGCACAGGTTGTTTAAAACATTATCAAGAGACTGAAACAGACATGGCACTAAAGAATACAGATGTGTGACAGCTATTCATATGGAAACATGATCATCACCATCACGTGCTCATGTGGTTGATGTATGGACTATCACACGAGGAGCTCTGTGGCACACACGGTTTACGGTGGGGGAGGATGTGGATGCGTGAAGATGGGATGTACGTGAGTCCCCATTTGCTGCTCACCACTAACTATGCTGAAAACTAAAGTTTATTAATTAAACACAGAAAAAGTAACAGTTCCTCAACACTAAATAAAGCATGATGAAGTATAATTACTAACGTGGTGAGGCTTAAATGGAGAAAGAGCATCAGTTTGTATTTCTATCTGTTCTGTACAGGCTGGCAAACATATTCATTCCTACAAATACAGCTGCAAAATAAAATTTTGGTATTTTCTCTTTCTGAAGGACATGATAGGATCAACCAAGTCACAAAGCATAATTATTTGTGTATAATTATAATTTTCATAGTCTTAAAAGTAAATAGATGATTGAAAGAGAGAGACAGACAGACAGAAAAATAGACAGGAATATGCCTTTCTTAAGGAAAGCCAAAAGAGCACCAGAATTCCTTACTGAGAATGACAATTGTCACCTCCCAACATGTCCTTCATCTCTTTCCTCAGAAAAATAAAATGATGTTTGTCCTCTCACACATACTTAAGTAAGGAAAGAGGGAAAACAATGAAGTTTTGCTCTTCAAGGTAATTATGATATCCTTCACAATGTTAAGAAATCGACATCTTACTGCTTTTCTCAGAAACAAGTTGAGAATTAAGATTTGAGTACCGTACATAAATTTTGAACCTTATTAGTGGATTGAATACTACTGTTGTTTGTCAAATCATAAACCACCACACTTATCCAAAAGGAGGTAAATAAACAGGATAGGTGTGTTCTCTACTGTATTCATCTTAAGGTACGATTCAAAAGCAGAATGTTATATTAAGCGAGCAGTCATACATCATGGATAGAATAAGATAACCAGAGGTAACTACCACTGAAAAAACATTGAATTTGGCACGAAGTCCTTCACTGGCTTCCCATCAAATCAAGGAACAGCTACCCACTGAGATAAATTGACTGACTCATTGATTCATTGATTCATTGATTGATTGCACCAGGAATCGAAATCATGACCTCGCACTTGCCACTTACCCTCTGAAATTTAAGTTGTTAATAATCAAAATATAATGGACAGATCAACTTCTACTGTACCAAAACATTATATTACTAATGCTGTGGAGGTGGGGAGTTAGCTCAGAGAAGTAAGTGCTTTCTGATTTCAATCCCTGGTGCGAACAAAAAACCCCTAAAAACTAATGATGCTAAAGCATGTTCTCTTTCCAAGTACACAATTAAGTTTTGAAGACGTGAGTGCAATATCAAAATAACTGAGTTATAATTATAAGATCTTAGTACAAAATATACTACTTTTGAGATGTGTTAATAAAAAATAAGGCACCACGTTCAACATGAAAAAGAGACTCTGCTTCTAGGAGTAGTATTGTTACTTAAGGTTCCAGATCTTAAATTATAGAAGAGCAAATCTAACTCTTCTGCAAACAGCCCTGGAACAGAAGCAGCAGTTAGTTACAGTTATGTGGGCACCAAGCAAATTTCTGTTCCTTGCTTTGGTCTCCAGAGTGAGCCAGCCGGCTGAGGAAATGAGGCATCCGTGGCATGCCCTGGGCTTTCAAGAAAGTATATCTTACAAGGAAAAGCAAGCAAGCCTATTACTTGTTACTGTCACTTATGAGTTTAGAAAGGCAGACATTTTTCCCCTTCCTAGAGTTTGAACATTTTTGCTTTTAAAAAAATAATGAGCTACTGAACTGCAAAATTTTGCCCCAGAAAAAAATGGTCGTGGACTCAGAACGGTGGTGCAGCAGCAGCAACACTGAAGTCCTTCCTGAGCAGGACTCTATGGGTCCCATTTGGAGAAGCACAGGCTGATGTTCCTGAAATGACTGTCTTTGCTCTACTTCATCAGCAGGACCTGAGGTGCTTTTCAAAACATATTCTGGGTATAACAAACACTTCGCTGATTAATTGGGAGATCTGTATTTTTTAAATATCACCTATTTTATTCAGCTTTAAAGAATAAAATTGAATACAGCCAGAAGAAACACAACTGCTACATGTGTTACTAAAATCAGTGATTGCTCAGGTTTAAATCTGAACTGTAAAAATCTCCAACATTTTGAAAATTTGCAAACTGTTTCAAATTTCCAAACGTACTGAAACTAGTAGCACAGCTGGCAATTCAACACTATCAGAATATATGTTAAATGACATAAGAGAAATTGATGTTTTGGAATAGCTATGTGACAGAGATTTAAAAACTGATAAATGCAGGGGCCGGGGAGATGGCTCAGTGGAATAAGCGCTTCCCTGGCAAGTGCAAGGGCCTGAGTTTAACCCCTGGT